TTTTAAAAGAAACCAAATATCAATAACAAATATATTTATTGATGCATTCATAGAAATAATACAGGGCGTAATGTGTTCACCTTTATAGGTAATTACTATCTCTTATATCTCCTCTTTGCCTAAATTTTACAAGCACCCGTCGTTATTATGTATCGACTATGTACAACTTTACATCGTGTGTAAATAAAAGAAAGTAAAGCAAAATTATTATAATCGTTTGTTATTCCGACTTCTACGTAAAATAAAAGCATTCCATTATTATTTGGCCAGAGGTAGTAACAATACTAACTAAATTACAAACAAAAGAAACCTAGGCAATTATATATGAAACTATTTTCTTAATTAAAAAAAAACAATTTTACCACTGTCCTGTCATAAATAAAACCAATAATAATAAAATCGATTGTCTATGCTACTAATGTGGGGAAGGCGATGTGTTGAGTTATTTAGTTTCGTTCATAAACTTCTGTATCTTGTCAGGCTCGGCGAGTTCCTTCAGACGGTGCAGGTTGTCCCACCAGAGCTTCAGTCTGTGACGACGAATCATGTTGAACCAAGGTGTGATTGGACCTTCCAGAGTTGGTATGAACCTGGTGAACAGAATATCTAATTGAAACCAATGTTTAAAAGCATAACTCTCTGCTTTGCTGCGCCATAGTTCAGTAAAAGTAACCCAGAACTTGAGGTAGCAACAATTAATTTTACGTTACGAGAGATCCTCGAAAATGGTAAAGTACAGAGTGATCTTAACTGATAACTGATAGGTTTTAAGGTATTAATGCTTCCGTCGTGTCATTTATTGTGTTCCAACGTTTTTGCCTTTATCAAATGGAAGGCAGGATATCGTGACGATATGTATGTAATGACATAATCTAGGGATATACTTACGCGTTAAACTCAGCTTTGGGTACGAAGCAATACTCTGATATCTCATTGGAGTTGGGTTTGACCTTGACGTCGCTCTGGAAGAAGAGGATGTGGTCGATCTCATGCTCTCCCCACACGCCGTCGCCGGGGTCGTGGTAGTGCACGCGCGTCATGTACGTGAACAACTCTGGGTCCATCTGGGATGTGAACAGTCAATATTAACTAATAATCCACAGCAACCATCCATAGTCCTACCTTTTCTTCATTATCCACAATAGTTCTACACTAACCGGGGACTGTCCTTGGGTGCATTTCCATAGTGCATACAGGGATAGTCGCCGGTTTGTTTGTCCATTACATTAAGATTAAAGTTGTCACATAAATGATAAGCATGTATTATGAATATGGTATGATAGCCTTTTTAACATAGAGATAGTCCTTTAGTGGATTGTCATTGGCATATGCATAGGGGTGCATAGAATTTAGAGAAATCTTGTACTGAGAATTAGTTTAACAACTAATATTGTTCTAATAATATAAGTACCTGGTCTAAAGGAATGCCCAGTTCGTAGTTGAGCCTTCGTCTAGCTGCCGTAATGACATCTTCAGCCTTATCATCTATGTAAAGTGGATGGCTGCAACATGCATTTGTGTAGTAGTCTGGGTATGTTACCTGCAAACAGGAAAATAAATTATTTTGAGACTATATTAAATATGGGATCAATATAGACTATTGCTGATAGTTTTAAATTAATAATAACACTACAACACTGCCATTGGGCAGTGGTTTGGTATTAGTATTGCCCAATAGTTGCGAGTTGCAGTATATTTCATCATCTTATAAACTTTAGTCGCAACAAAAGTAACTTAAGGAGTTTTTTGTTCAGTCTTCTCTATAGGCATCTACACTTTGGAACAAGCAACTTCACTAGAGGACTGACTGACAGACTGACTTTTTAATATTTTGTTTGATGTCCAAAAGTGCCTAACTGGCTTAACTGAAATAAATGATTTAGACTTTAATATTTTAAGCACTACCTAATAATTTTCCTAATAACTAAACTTACTTTTTGACTAGCTCTCCTTTGCAGAAGCATGTCTCCTCTCTTGTTGAATAAAAACACACTGAATGCTCTATGGAGTAATATCTTGCCATCATCTCCTACTTTATGGCATTCTCTCTTAGTGGCTGTACCAAGGAAGTTGTCTTTCTCATCTACTAACAGGCAAATGTCTTTGTCTAAAGCTTCCAACTGTAAAGAAAAAAAAAAAGAAATTACTTTAGTACAGAAATCTTTTTGAGAATTATGTGCATTACAATAAACAACAGAACTATAAAAATATTCAAAAAAGATTTTTCATAAAAAACAGACAATAAATAATAATGTCAAGTATTATCAGAACCTATTTAAAATGCAATTATAATTTATTGCCAAGTTTTTACATTGTAATTAATATTCAAACTTATAACTACAGATTTGTGAATATTATTAGTATTAATAATAGTTGTTAATATACCCACTACTTATACAAGCAGCAGGTATATTAAACTGTCAAACACCAAGCGGTCACCGGTGACCGCAACCTATTGTTCTATAATTGTGTCTACAAAACCGGTACTCGACGAGTTAATCAAAATGTTTGACTAATTATTTGTTATGTTTTAGGGGTAAAAAATATGGAGGGCCCTTTGTTATCTATATTGAGAGAGCACCAAGCTTATCAGTAACTACACTCAATAAATATTCTAAAACAAGAGAAAGCTGCAATTGGGTACTTGTCAGCTAGTCAAATTCAATACTTTTTTCGAAAATTTATTGGAAAAATACTAAAACTAAGTTATTCATAAAATCAATTAATGACAGTGTCATTATCACTACATAGTAAAAAACAAAGTCACTATACGCCGCCTGTCTTTCCCTATATATGCTTAGATCTTTAAAACTACGCATCAGATTTTGATGCGGTTTTTTCTAGTAGAAGAGTGATTCTTAACTCTTTGAGTACCGTCATTATTGACACAATTATAGAACAATAGGTTGCGGTGACCGCTTGGTGTTTGACAGTTTAAAGAGGGTTTATATGTATAATACATGCATATTGCACCGGTGCGAAGCCGGGGCGGGTCGCTAGCTCTTTAATATTTTATTGTATTGAACAGTCAAAATAATTTATTTTTGATTAAGGTAACTGGTAAGTACCCAATTGGTTATGCAGGGCCCTTAGCATTAGTTGATTTGATCTGATTTTAGTTTTACAAGTTTAGTTTTAATGCTTACCTGGACTGGATCAACACCCTCCTTCTCTTCAGGTTGAGGTTTCAACGGCTCGGAGGCAAGAAACCTTTTTTCAACTCTTACTGCTGTGCTCCACAAGGATCTGGTTAGCCTCCGTACTAACATCTTTGCAGCTGGACAAGTGAACAAAGAATGATCAGGGAGATTGTTGGAAGCTGAACAAGATGTCTATGGTATTGTAATGGTAATTCATGAGATGATAATCTTGAATACAATATTGTTATGTTCATTTGTCCCTTGTGTATTGTTAATATGCTTTTAAGTATTATTTGACTTATGACCTGAATAATATTAATTCTATTGTGTTTACAATTGGTTGAAGATAGATTCATAGGTATGCACATTTTTGAGGTTTCCCTGTACAATATCCGAGTCTATGCTGATAAGCATGTCATTGATAAACGTAAGTTTGAAATGATTGATAATCATAATATTTGTATTGCAGTAGGTACTGTAGTTGCAAATACTGACTGCATAAAATATTTTTAAATGTATGTCAGGTCAGCAGGTCAAGTAACATCAGATATCATGATAATAGAGCTGTGTAATTGAATCTAAGTTGATAGTTTATTATGGACTATGCAGTATGCACTTTCTTGTAAAGTAATGAGGGTATGGTGAATTCCATACATATTCTTAATGTGGCAATAACGTGGTGAAATTACTTATTTATATTAAAGATGAGGTATGGTAGTAGCCTCAATTTCTAAATAAGTAGAACATCATAACGAGTATTAGGTTCGTGATACTATTTTGATTTCTTTTATAACCTAAGTCTTAATTAATCAGAGGTGGAAAGTGCGAATATTCAAACTTGTAATAAATCTCATGGTGTAATCTTTATCTATTTATCAAGTATTAATAATTGTTTTCTTCAATGTTTATGTATATTACATGTTCGATACCTTTTTAAGTTATGACTATAGTATTAAAGGAAAAATAAAAGTTACCTTTTTGCGTATATCACTAACTTATACTTATTGTTTTAATTTCAACGTTCTGCATTAAATCAAGAAATACTTTTTATAATTATTTATTAAAAATCGTTCCGTCAGCAATCTATCAACATACTTTTTTTTTCAAAATGTCCTCCTGTCACTCTGTCAGTTTTCTTGCTGATGTCAGTGTTGCCAAGATGCATGCAAGCCAAATGAGCCAAGCCAAAAAAATGCCAAAAATGAGAAAATAATAATCAAGGAAGTCTTTTTTAGAAAACATATTCGACAATGAATACGGTAATACATAAAGTGAATTTTAACCTATTAGTAATATAAACTGCCTCATCGGCCGAGCGCGACCACTCGGCCTCGGTGATGTTATGTTATGTAGTAATATTGAAATTGAAAAATCAACTTTTGGATTTATTCCAAATGTTATTAAACACAAAAATTGTTTAAATATTTTTTTTGTTTCTTTGTTTTTCTACAAAATAGCTTACAAATCGGTAAATTTCTAAACTTGGCAGCATTCCTAATTGTGACAGATAGATGGCTCCTAAAACTTTTTAAATAATCGTGGTACAATGCACAATTATTGAGATAAGATTTGAATGCTGAGATTGCATTTCTTAAGAACGAACTTACTACATAGAAGTAGGGTGAGTGGGGGGAAGACGAAAAACGGGGAAACATAAAAAACCTTCCATAACGACAGATTTAGTGCAGTTTTTGCAGTGTTGGTAACATTGTTAAGACCGCCATTTTGTTACGTGTCACCCCTCAGTCAGCGTTTGCCGCTTTAAGTGAGTGGTTGTGTGAAAAATACAAATGTCTGTGCAGTGACTTTTACGCGAGTTAATCGAGTGTTTCAATCTTGCCCCGTGTCTTATAACTTTACTTACAAGGTAGGTACGAGTGTTTTATTGGAATACCAACTCATTATTTTCAATTCTTAATTGTGTTATCAGTCCTAAATATTGCTATCTGTCGTAGTTTTCAATTTATCACAATGTTCCATCTTTACCCACCAATATTTGACGGGGTAAGAAAAACATGTAAAAGTTTTAATCTTGCCCCGTTTCGAAATTTCATACTAATAGTCAGTGGTTCTCAAA